TCTACACCCTCAGGCTAAAGATAAAAACTCTAAGCAAATACTGTTAGCAGGCTTTCTGGTAACAAAAAGTTTGACCAGTAATTTTGAAACTATGTCCTATATAATCCAAAACAGAAAAAGAAACATATTATGAATAGTAGGAGCCAGTTTCTCAAGACCCAAGAAAGCAGTTCCTAATCCAAATGATTTGTAAAATGAGAACATGAATAAACTTTGTAGTGCAGATCTAGAATTGGAAGTATCAATATAAAGACATATTTTTTTTTGTTTCTGTAGATATATACAGACAGACCTCTAGACATGTAAATGAACATGTCTCTCACCCCTGCCTACTCAAAGGATCTTGAAGGAAGGACTCTCCACCAGTAATGAGCACAACTAGTACCTAAATCTTAGTGTCTAACTGCCATTGAGGAATCACTAGGCTAAAAATAACCAAGCATACTTCAAGAACAGTTGGAATCAGAATTGAAATAAAAAAATCTGAAAAGGACCCTGGAACTTCCTGTGCTTTCAGGATGAACGAAGTGATCAGAGAGCAAAGGACACAAAACAAAAGGACACAGAAGCCAGCAGAATGAGCTCCCTGGTCAATTCTGGGGCAATAAAAACAAAATAAATAATGACATGATGGTAAAGAAGTAGAAGCCACTTTAGAAAGAATCATAGATACAAAGAAATAAATGGGGGACATGGTAAAGCTTGTCCTTTCCACAGAAACCTAATTAGTGAGTTTAGAAGGCATAATGGAGTTGGTAAATCACTATTACCATATTTAATAATATCAAAGTATCTCTCTACAAGGTTTTATCAAATACAAAAAAGAAAAATTGTAGCTTTAAGTTAAGAAATGTGTCAGTCACCAGCTTAACCAGTGTTTCAAAGTTAAGACCAGCGATGGGAAAACTAGTTACCATGTACCTCCTGAAATGTGTCCTGTGAACGTATGGTTACTTCTGTGGGTTTCCTGCCCAAAGTGTATAACCTGAATCTAACCACGACGGAAGATTGGACAAACTCAAAAGCAAGGGAAAGAAAGCACTATGCAAAAATACTGGTATGTGTCTGTCTCTATCTGTCTGTCTCTCTCTCTCTGGTAAAGATACAGCGTAGCAGGCCTGACATTAGAAATGGACACATCACACCAGGACTTTCTTTTACTATAAGTTGGGGCAACTGCTAAAAATGGGGAGGAGGAGGCCTTTGAGAAAAAAAGAACAGTATTTTATCAGTGTTAATTTCTGGATTTTATGATTGTAATAGGGTTATAAGAAGGAGGCCTTTGTTTTGAGGAAATACACACTGAGGTATACCTGGAGCAAAAGGCCTCTTGTCTGTACTGACGGTAGGTTCTATATACGCAGAGACAGAATAAAGCACTAGGGCAAAATAGGAGGAACAGGAGTGAAGCATATAAAGGAACTTTTTGCCTTTTCTTTGCAAGGTTTTTATAAACTATAAATTACACCGAAGTAACAGGCTAACAAAAATGGCTATCTTTCTAGAAAATTTAATCACAATAAGATCACCAAGGAAATGCAACCGAATTGGGAAACCAGAAAGTTAACTGATCTCTCTATGGTCAGCTGGTATTCAACAAGGAAAGAAAACCTATCAAATGAGGAAATAACAACCTCTTCAACAAATGGTGCTGGTGAAATTAGACTTCTACCTGCAGAAAGTTGAAGCAGGATCCATATCTCACATCATACACAAAAATCAACTCAAGGCTAAAGCCCCAAACCATAAAGATCATAAGAGACAAACTGGGACCCAAGCTTAAAAGGCCTAGTCTATGGTATAAAGAGATTGCCAAATGCATCCAGAAATGCACCATCTAGAGAGGATAAAATTGATGAATGGGACTTTCTAAAGATTAAACCCCTCTGTGCATCAAAACTTTTTTCAACAGGATGAAAAGAAAACCTACTGACTGGGAACAAACATTTGGCAATACCATCTCAGACAAGGGTCTCATAATGAAAATTTACAGAATCCTACAGGGCCTATACAAGAGAAAGACTGATGACCCAACTAAAAAATGGGCAAAAGACATGGAAAGACTTTTCACAGAGGAAGATATTCAGATGACCAACAGACACATGAAGAAATGCTCAAAATCACTGGCAATAAGGGAGAAGCAAATTGAAACCACAATACCATCTCATTCCAATAGCAGTGGGAAAGTTTCACAAGACAGCAAGAAAGAAATGGTGGAGAGGCTATGGAGAGATTGGAACTCTCATACACTGTTAGTGGGATTGTAAAACCACCCTGGAAGCCAGTTTGGTGTTTCCTTAAAAAGCTGAACATAGAGATTCCCTATGACCCAGCTAGGAATACACCCCAAGGAAAACAGAACTGAGATACAAAGGAGTTTTGTAAATAGAAGAACATGGAAACAGTCTAAATGTCCATCAACAAATGACTGGATTGAGAACTTGCTGTACGTTCACATGATGGAAGACTATGAAGTACTCAGGAGCAATGATTCGGAAAAATACTATACAACATGGGAGAGTCTAGAGAGCATTATGTGGAGCTGCATAAGGACAAATACTGCCTAAGACCATTACTGTAAAACATACGGAAACCAGTAAGATGTGTATGGCTATCCAAAGAGGGAAGGGGAGCACACAGAGGGGCAGAAGGGATGTGGTGGTGGGGGGTAACCACAGGTTTGCAGAGTTGATGGGTAGAGGAAGGGGGAAGAACCCCAAAGAAACACAATGTACATGGATGAAATAAACTGTAAACAAATTATTGTATGCAAACTAGTACCAAAAAAAAAAAAAAGATCAGCAAGACAAGCTCTTTTTCAGCACTCCTTTTGCCTTCTGGCTCAGGATTAGCAGTGCTTCCTCTGTGTTTCTTTATAAGCTAAGTCATGGTCTTCAATGTCTATACCACCCTAAGCCACACTACTACTTGATCTATTTGTCTACCAACAGTGATATTTTCATGCATTTGCGATGAAATAATCCCAGCTCCTGTTCTGAGTTGTGAATCTGCAAGAGGTTCTCATCTCCTCAATTTGTCTATTCCTTATCAGTCCTTTCCTACTCTGTACAGAATTTTAAGGAATAATTCAATATGCATCATTTCCATTCATGTGAACATGTCATACTCAGAGGACAAAGGGACAATGTCAGTCAATTATTGAGCATTTCGTACTGCCACACTCAGTATTACCCTGAACTCTCACATTACAGAAACTTTCTAATGAGTAAAACGGTTTGCTCATAAACCCCCTTTAGAATTGCATTAGTTTCTTAACACGACACCGGTTACAGTTAAGGCAGGATGACAGAAAACATGATGTCCTGGGCCTGCATCTATCTGTAGGGCAAGTTACATTTTCTAAGGTTGTTTGGACCATAAATCACAAAAGCTTTCTTTAAACTCTAGAAATTATAAATATGGTATTTGAGTTCTTTGTTTTTTAAAAAAGAACACTGTAAGATTTACTTTTACATTACCAATGAACGTTCTTATATCTTGTTCTTTGATTATTAAGAAAAGAGAATGGACTCAGACTTCTATGCTAGCTCATGAAGATAGTTCAACAGTTGCAGCAGTTATTACTAGAGACTTTTCAAACCTGTTGCATATTATATAACCTCTAATCAAAATCTTCACTGACTCTTAGAAAGCAATAATTTTCTAAAGTGTAGGAAATTCACCTTAACATTAAGTTTCAAGTTTCCTTTGGCATATTTTGCAAAACTATTTTAAGGATACCAAGAAAAAGAGGACCATGTAGGCAGCTTTATCGCCGCTGCAAAAAAAACAAAAACAACAAAACAAAACCACACACACACACACACAAAGAAAAACCCACAAAGCTACAGATCTATAACAAACTTTATATACTGAGTCAAAACATGGTGATAGTTAAGGCAAGACATCCAATACATAAAGTAATGGGACATATGACTTGCTCCTACACAGCAGCAGAACTTATGTCTGAAGATTCTGTAACAGTGTTTGTTTCTTCACCAAATCAAAATGTTGACCCAGAACAGAAGATCATGCCATCAAGAAAAAGTCTAGAAATCATAACAAAATTCTCTTACATGGAATTTAGATTAAGAGGAGAGTCCCAGTCTAACAAAAACATTAAAATATTACCTGGGTTCATGGGCCTAAAGCGGATGCATTTTCTGACCTCTTCATAAATATGATGAATTTAGATGATGCAAAAAGACAGTAACATGTTGCATGGTTAACAACAGTTAAAGGATTCAACCAAACATCAAGAATAGTAATAAACTTGAACAGCAGCCTCAAGTAGTTTTTCCACTCATCTCCTTGTAGAGCGGTGATGGAATTGGACTCACACCAGGGACACTGTCTACCTAGATTAACATGAAAGCATCTACAAAGACACACCTTCCACTGGTTTTCAACTCAGTCTTTTAAAAGTTAAGCAGTTCAATCCACTTTAAAAAAAGAAATTAACAAAAAAAGAGATAAGCACAACTCTTGCTCACTGAACTAAACTACAGCCTTCACGTAACAATACAAATGCAGGGAGAGATGATGAGAGAGAGTGTGGTTCTAAAGAATAAAGTCATCTTCAGAGATAGGAAAATATCACTTCACTCATTTTTCTATTACTATATGGCTCTTAATGCTCTCTTAAAATCAAGAACTTCACAGTTACACAAAAGTTATCTACTATAGAAATTGTATCTTTTCCAGAAAGCAAACTCATAAAACGTCCAAGGTACCAAAGCTAGTAAGAGAGACTCTCTAAGACACTAAGACATACTTGTCAAAATCTTCTAATCTCCAAATTTCACCAATAAGAAATGTTGCCAATTATTTTCTTCTATTTTGAAGTTGTGACAAACATGTAGCAATTGCTTCACATTTCAACAGTCAACTCTGTGACATTTGTTTATCATGTTATTTAACTACTGTCATTAGTTGCCCAGTACTTTAAAATACTATCTTCCGTCCCAAAGTGGAGAAAAAAAAAATCACCATTTACTTACAAGTTTTTGTATTTCACATAGAATTCCTCAACTTCTACCTCCTCTCCAGATTCCTTCTGTAACAAAAGACAGTTTCAGAAACACACTTAAAATCATCTACTAGAGTATTTCAAAAGCAACTATTTAGTCCCAGAAATGACAAAAGCACCTTATAGCTTTTCTAACATGCACTTATTGGGAAGGAGGAGGCTGTTATGAAGGGAGCCTACCCCCCCCCCCCCCCCCGGCCCCTGCCATACATGCTACGCTACTCTAGCACATTAGAACTTTGAAGACATGAATCATTTTAACTCCTCCCTAACCACATGCAGCTTCATTCACAACAACATGACCCCAAATTTGGCTTTCTGCCAAACCCACAGTGTTAAGTAGACGCCAAGTGTACCATTTTCTCAGGCAGCAGCCAATTAGCAACTGCTCTCCTGAATGCCATATGTATTATTTTTGGCTGCTTGATGGCAACTTTACATTGTAGGTTTTGTAATGTTTTAAAATATTTAAAAGACATTTATTCCTCTATATAGTTAATACCTCCAAACAAGAAACCATATAAAACTCAAACTCGTTCTTGTGCTACAATTTCAGTGCATCACTATTTACCACGTAAGCACTCCTCAATGGTCCAATTAAATTCTCTCCGACAAGATGTCTCGCGCACACAACAGCCAAACGAAATTAACCCTCCAAGCACTACATTTTTAGGTAAGGGTAAAATTGTGATACACGTCAGCCAAATCAGGCGTTTGCACGGGAAGACGACAGCATCTCCCTTAATCCTGTCTAACAAGTATTCAAAAAGTAATGCTCATATGGTATTTCAGTAATTCCCACCCCCCCCCCCGGGGCACAAGATACATTTGACCCTTTTGGCTTTAGGGTTTTAAACAAGTTGTAATATATAATTTTGCTCTGGAAGAGTTGATCAGATAAATCAAGGATGTAAACTATAAACACCATTTACAGATGCTTCAGGATTCCTTTTTCACACTCTTACAAGAGTATCCAAGCTTGCCTTCAGGGCCACAAGGATCTGCTGAGCCGCCACAAAGATGCATTGGAGAAACTAAAGAGACATGGCAGAAACCACAGGAAAAAGCAAAGACTTCCACTGGATAACAGGGTGCATAGGATCTGTTCTAAGAGATTATTCTTTCCCTCAATCTCTAATCCTTAGATTACCGTCAAAGATTAGCAACTTAATTATTTTTTTAACTCTTATCTGTACCAGTTAAATGTAAACTGTTTTCTTGCTTGCCTAGAGATTACTAATAAAAGAACAGACTATTTGGGGGTGGAGTCAACAAACATTACTAACTAGTTTTGCCCTACTACATCTACAAAAGGTCCTTATTAAAAAGCTGCCTTTTATACCAGTGCATTAAGAACACAATCGATGTCCCAGATCTCTAGTCTTGTCCAAAACCAAAAAGAAATGTTTGTTGGATGCCTTTCAAGAGCCAACAATTTAAACCTGGAATGAGTTAACAAATAAAGTCTTGTGATAACCCATCCAGGCCCAAATCTAATTTATTCTAGTCCCTGTATCTTCCTGTTTCTCCTTGAACATTTCATCCACCACTTAAAGATACACATCAATAGATATCCCCTAAGAAAGGCAAAAGTTAGATCATAGGTACCAGGAAGATGGGGGAAAAGGCAAGATTCAATTATTTTTAGGAGTCAGACTTGACTCGATGGCAATGGGTTTGGTTTGGGGGTTTTTTAGCAACAGTTCAAACCCATTAGAGAAGCTTTGGAAGATAATCCACATGATGTTTCCAAAGGCCATATGGCCTTGAAAACTATGGAACAGCTCTAATCCACACAGTGGTAAGGAGCTATGCTGTCAACCTGATGGAACATGGGAAAAAATCCACCAGTTCCTCCATAGAAGAAAGATGGCAATTTTCTCCCATGCAACTCTGAAAATCCACTGGAGGTTCAACTTTGAGTTGAACAATGGTTGTTGTCATTATGTGACCTTGAATCAAGTACTACCCATAGCGACGCTATGAACAACAGATCTGAACTCTGTCCTATCTTGTGCCAACCTCACACTTCCTTACACACTTGAGCCCACTGCAGCAGGATCCATCTGGTCAAAGGTCTTGCTCTCTTTCTCTGACCTTTTCAAGCATCATGTCCCTCTCCAAGAAACAGCCTCTGCTTGCAACATGCCTAAAGTATATGAGTTGAAAACCTGACAGTACACACCACAAACAATAGCAACCTATCCTCAGATCTTTTCTCATCAGTTCCTTTTAATTCCTGATGAAATGGTTTCACTATCCTACATCACACAGGATCAATTCTTTAACAGAAGTCTTTTCATTTCTATTTCATCATACATATGAACCTAGAAGGCAAGCCTTGATTGACTTTTAGCTCCATTAATGATCTCCCATTTTCACAGACATCCCCTTGCTTGCTGTGATCCATGATCCCTTCGGAAACTTGCTACAGAGATGCCTAACCAGAGACTTAGTTACTGGGAAGGAACTGTCTAGGCACTAAGACCTAATGTAGTAGTAACTGGAGAAGGCATAGAACCATCCTCGGAGAGTCTCAAAAAACTCTACATTTTGTCACAGTGACCAGCACTAACCTTCCTTCTTGCTCCAGGACTTATTGTAGGTCTTTTATCCTTCATTTTATAGAAATAAGATCATGTTATCTGTTCTGCCAGTTAACATAAGTACACCAATTCATAATCTTTCAGGTGCACTTCTGCCTGATTCTGCACCAGCTCACAGTAACTGTGTCCTTCCATGATATCCATTAATTCACTCTCTGAATAGTAGCTTTTACCAGCCTTCAGTGACAGCCAAAAATCAGACCCTACACTCTTGCAAAGTCTGGAGAGATCATTCTAAAAGAGGGACAACCAGTGAATGAACATGTCAACATATCATTTTCACAGAACAAACACTCAAATTTCATTCTTGGAGAGTTAGTATTCAATGAGAGCCTTCTAAAGTAATTTTATGTAGTCAATAGAGTATTTCTTAGTATAACCTTTCATTAGACTAAACTCTCCTTGTTTTTAAGAAATAGAAAACTCCAAACACAGTAAATTATTTGTCCCATTGTTCCTAGGAACCAGAATTCTTGATTAGGCAAAAATATTGGCTCTTATTCTCACCTGGAATCTAAACTAACCATTCAACAAATGATAATCCTTGTGGCCTAAAGGAAGCAATGATCTTTTCTACGCATCCCATTACTGAAGAAACAAAGTTCAGCAACATATTAAAAAAGGGGGAAATTTGTTAAACAGTGCACAAAAGGCAAAGAGCAAACAAGAGTGCAGAATACTAATAAAGCCCAGGTGGAATTATCTTTCTGCTCTGACCCAGCACACCGTACACTCTACCAAAGATGTCAAATGGTGTTCCACTTTAGGGAGAATATACAGTCATGATAATAAACATGATAATAAAAGTAATCCCTACTTTTTATCTTTGGAAGCAGGAGAGGCATCCACTTCCTAAACGATACGCCTCTGAAAACTCTATGAAGTTTTGATAAACGCTCGTAGTTATAGAAAGGCTTCAGGCCTTTTGTTCCTAAGGTCGCTATGAATTGTGCTCAACTAGAAGGCAATCAACAACACTTTTTATCATTACATTCAGCCAAGGAAGATTAAAACATACACATTAAAATTTAAAAGAAACTCTTAAAACATGTATACTATTAAATGATTCACTTAAAGAAAAAGAATTTGTGAACATAGACAGCCATTATTTTTAAAATTCTCTTTCACTTTCTTATGCTAACAGATTTGAATCTTTGTTCTACAAAGATGGAAAGCTGGGAATAGAAAGTGTTGGTGTTGTTAAGTGCTGTTGAACTGAATGTGATTCACAACAACCCTATGAACACTAGCTCTGAACCCTGCCTTATACTGAGCCAACCCACACACTTATCGCCACTGCCAAAGTCATTGTGTCAATCCATCTCATCCTCTCTAACACTGACCTTCAATCTACCCTTCCAAGGATGATGTCTATCTCCAAGGGCTGTTCCTTCCTGGCCATGTACTCAAAGTAAGTGAGATGGTGTTTTAAAATCCTTACTTCCAAGGAGCAACCTGGTTTTGGTCTCTCCATGACAGATTTGTTTATTCCCTTGGCAGTCCACTGTATGTTCAATTCTATCTATTGAGCACCACAGCTTAAAGGCATTGATACCTTTTCTGTCATCCTTAGTCATTATCCAGGTCTCTGATGCAAGTAATTGTGAAGACCATGGCCTAGATCTGGCGCACCTTAGTCTCCATACTGATCCTGTTGATCTTCAACACTCTAAAGAGGTCCCTGACAGCAGATTTTCTCAGTACAGCTCCTCTTTTGATTTTCTGACTGCTAATGCCAAGAGTGTTACAGAACCAAGCAAGCTGAAACGGTTAGCAATCTCAATCTCTTCTCCATCTAGCATGATGTTGCCAATTGGCTCAATGGTGAGACTCTTTGTTTTCTTGATGTTGAGCTTTGATCCATATTGAAGGCTGCAGTCCTTGACCTTTTGCAGCAAGTGCTTCAGGTCCTCCTTAGTTTTGGCAAGCAAAGTTGTGTCATCTGCAAAACGTAGGTTGTTGATGAGTCTTCCTCCAATCTTGATGCCACATTCCTCCTCATAAAGTCCAGCCTCCTGAATGACCTGTTCCACATAAAGACTGAAAAGGTACCTGTGAATAAAGGACGCATCCTTGACACCTTTCTTGATTTTGAACTATGCAGTGTTTCCTTTCTCCAATTAGATGAATTCCTGGTCTAAGTACAGGTCTTGCATGAGCAGTCAAGTATTCTGAGATTCTCATTCTTCTCACTCAGTGTTAACCACAATTTAGAAACTGAAGAATAAATTCAAGCCTCAGGTTGCAACACTTAAAAATGCTATGGCCAAAATACTGAATGATCCAGGAAGCATCAAAAGAAGATAGAAAGAGTACACAGAGTCACTGTACCAAAACAATTGTTTGACGCAAAAGAATTTAATGAAATAACATATAATCAAGTGGCAAGGATGATGAAGGAAGAAATTCAAGATGCTCTGAAGAACTGGCAAAAAATAAGGTCCTAAGACTTGATGGAATACCAAGTGACATGTTTCAATAAAAAGACGCAACTCTTGACTTGCTCACTAGGTTATGTCAAGAAATCTGCAGGACAACTACCCCGTTCAATTGACTGGAAAAGCTTCACATTTATTCCCATTCCCCAAAAAGGTGATCCACTAGAATGTGGAAATAATCAAACAATATCACTAATATCACACACAAGCAAAATCCTGCTGAAGATTATCCTAAAAGGACTGGACAGTATATTAACAGAAAACTGTTGTTCATCAAGGACATCACTGCCAATAGCAGCCTGTGCTTGGTGAAAGCATGAAACCATTACAGATAGTCTAATATGGAAAACATAAAAATTAACTTTTCTATAATCAAGTCTTTTTTTTCTACCAATCACAAAATTTTAAAAAAAAAGTATCATGTATGTCCAGTTCTCTGGACTCTTGATCATTAATTTAATTTCAGAACAACATAAATGCTCAAATTATTTAAGCCAATAAAAAACCTGCTGGATTCACAAGCTCTGGCCACTCCCTTCCACAGCTACATCATACCAGGACGGCCTTTCAGGTGCAACAATGAGTAGCAACTGGTCTGGAGGCACAATTTGTCCCCTCTATGTGTCAGCCATGCACAGAGTAGGCTCTAAAAACACAGTCAGTCAGTCGCTAGAGTGCTGCCAGGGGAGACAGAGATTCTTTGGCACTGCCCATTCTTAAATTATTCAGGGTAATAGGAAACAGAGTAACAGCTCTCACTAGAGGCCACAGAAAAGTCTCAAATTTCCCTTTTTTCTTTCTGTGACACTTTCTAACAATGTTATTAAAGCTGGGGGAGCTATTAAAGTGGGGGGAGCTCTGGTGGCCTAGTGGCAAAAAGCTGTGCTATAATCCTGAATGCATGGGGTTCAAGGTCTCCAACTGCTCTGTGGAAGAAGGATGGGCAATCTCTTTCCATGCAATTAATTGCCTCTGAAAACCCACCAGAGGGTCGGCTATGTGTCAGTACAGTACACAAAAACAATATGAAGGGCCTCACTAGTAATTGTTAATTACCTCAGAGTAACTATACTGAGAAGATTAGCCATTTTAAAAGTAGCTTCTAAAATGGCTTTTGGTTTTATAAAGGTTTTTAATTATTTTTTAAGACATACCAATAATATTACTGTTATAAATGTTATAATCTTATTATTTAGAAGCAAATTGATGAGTTCTATTTATCTTCTTTTGAGAAGGGCTAACTTGCTCAGCATTTCTTAAGCTAAAGGAATTAAAGAATAAATTCAAGCCATGAGGTGCAATGCTTAAAGATGCTATGGGCAGACTACTGAATGATTCAGGAAGCCTTAAAAGAAGATAGAAGGAGTATACAGAGTCACTATACCAAAAAGAATTGGTTGATACAGAAGAATTTCAAGAAACAACATATGATTGTGATGAAGGTAATGGTGATGAAGGAGGAAGTTCAGGCTGCTCTGAAAGACTTCGCAAAAAATAAAGTCCCAGGAATTGATGGAATACCAACTGACATATTTCAATAAACTGATGCTGCTCTGGACATGCTCATCAGGTTGTGTCAAGAAATCTGGAGGATAACTACCTGGCCAAACTGACTGGAAGAGATCCATATTTATTCCCATTTCAAAAAAAGGTGGCTTGACAGAGTGTGAAGAGTAGCATCCACTTCCTAAACAATATGCCTCCAGAACCTCTATGAACTTTGATAAATGTCAATAGTTGTAGAGGAGTTTCAGGCATTTTGTTCACAGGGTCGCTATGAGTTGTGCTTGACTGAAGGCAATCAACAACAACAATATCACTAATATCACATGCTAGCAAAATCCTACTGAAGATTATCCAGAAATGAAACAGTACACTGACAGAAAACTACCAGAAATACAAGCTGGGTTTAGAAGAGGTCATAGCACTAGAGACACTTGTTTGTGTTTAGGTGAAACCTATACTTGGACCAGGAAACAGTCCTCAGAACATCAAGGAATCACTGCATGGTTCAAAATCAGGAAGAGAGTGCAACAGGTAGCGTGCTCCATACTTTTTAAATCTATATGCAGAACAGATCATTTGGGAAGCTGGGCTTTATGAGGCATCAGGATTGGAGGAAGATTCATCAACAACCCACATTATTCAGAAGACACAACCTTGCTTGCTAAACTGAAGAGGACCTGAAGCACTTGCTGCAGACGGTCAAGGACTGTAGTCTTCAATATGGACTGAAGCTAAACATCAAGACAAAGATCCTCACCACTGGGCCAATGGGCAGCACCATGACGGATAGGGAAGAGACTGACGTTGTTAATAGCTGTCTGGTCTCCACAATCAAGACTTCTGGCACCAGCAGTCAGGAAATCAAAAGACGAATTGTCTTGGGAAAATCTGCCCTCAGGGACCTCTCCAGAGTACTGAAAAGCAACAATGTCAGTAGAGAGACTAAGGTGCACCTAATACAAACCATGATCTTTGCCATTACTTGCTATTTATCAGAGAGCTGGACAATGACTAAGGATGACAGAAAGAGAATTGATGTCTTTGAGTTGTGGTGCTAGAGAAGAGTTTTGAAGCTACCCTAGACTGTCAATAATTATATATGTGGGCAAGATAGGGGAAAAGGAATGCCTTACATTAAAAAGTCTAAGTAATTCTTCTCTGAATAATAAACCTAATTATATTGTGCAACCCACAACCTACTGTGTACCCCCATAGAAAAACTATCAATGGAATGAAAATACATCCTATTTAAATCTTATGCTATTTACTCAAACAAGTCACTTCAGCTCAATGAAGGCAATTACACATTAAAGTACGTATATTTTAAAGTTTATTATATATTTATAATGCACAATTAACTGTCCTAAAGTCTTTAGTAGCACAGGAATGCAACCTTTCTAAGGAGTGAAAAAGCAGTCATTTCTGTTTGATCAGGGGAAATTGAGCTGTGATTTTATAATTTAATTCACCAGAGAGAAACTCTTCAGGTTCATAGTCAATGGTTACTTCCCCATTCCCATATCCAAACTGACATCTCAATACATTGTTTTTTATAATTTTCAAATGAACCGAGCTGCACACTGTGATAAAAATCTACATCTTGCATCACACATTAGAAAAGCAGAGAGGATGGTGAGGAAAGTTTAAAAGGTCAATTGCTGATACAGAATCATTGTCAAGCATCTCCAGGTAATAACAATGGAATAGCAAGTCTATGGGGTATGCTGGTGATTTCATTCCTTATCTCGTAGCAAGATATTCTATTTATTTGTTATACATCATACTAATAAAAGAAATGACTTTTCATGACACGTCTCCCACTTTAAAAGCAAATAAAAACAATGATTAATGCTGAAAGACACCTATGTAAAGGAAACAACTTTCCAGAGAGCCTGCTGGGCTATACTCACATGAACTTAAGCATTTTGTCCACGTGGGCAAGAAGAGAGCTGATTAGGATCAAAGGAAAAAAGTGTCTTCAGAAAAAGGAAATTTCATGTACTTTGAATTCTTGGTTGAAGCGAAGAGTCTCCCAGTATCCAAGTTATCAGTCTACTGACACTTTTAGAGTTCATTTTTCTTGATCAACATGAAGTCCGAAAAACTTTGAGCAATCAGTCATTATGCAGAAAAGACACACTAAAAACTCTCCTTTGCTGTTGACTGCCATCAAGTTGAGCATGACTCATAGCAACACTATGAACAAAAGACCTGAAGCCTTTCTATAACTATCATCATTTCTTAAAGTTCATAGAGTTTCCAGAGGCATGTTGTTTAGGAAGTGGATGCCACTCTTGCTTCCAAACCTGTCTGGGAGCTCCACCAAAAACTCTCCACCATTGAGTAACTGTTATGGCATCTGACAGCCCAAAAGCACAAGGTTCAGCATAACAGCAACCCCAGGTTATCTCAGTACAGTAAGTTGACAGACTAGTGCTGTACCACTTAAAACAATATTCCTCTAAAATATAAAGACAACCAATCTTTAAATACAAAGGCCCATTTATGCTCTCCTTGTCTCTAAACAAGAGGTTTAACTAAAAAACAACCAATGTAACTAGGTACGGAAAAAAAAAATTCCACAAAGTATGAGAGACAACGTATTTGGTAAAATGATATATATAACTTACATTATTACCAAAGAAAACAAACTAAAAAAATAAAATTCACTGTCCAAAAGTAATTTCTTGACCCTTCACCAGATTTTTTTTTTAATTGTGATTTTTTAACAGAAGTTTATCTATCAGATCTGAGGAAGTACAGGAAGATGGTACCCTTCCATCACCCATGAAGCCAGCACATCACACACTAAGCCGTTGGGGCAAAAAACCTTCCTAAGAGAAAGGGGCGGTCAACTCATATTTATGATTTTCATGCCTTATATCTTTAATATTTATAGGTAGCCTATAAAGCCTCAGACATTTCTTCGTCTATCTTTGAGGTTCACGTCTAACAAAAACATTGATTAACTTATATATTTTAACTTTATTTGGATTTGAACATCCCAAAATTTATACTGGGCAAAGAAATCTTTTAAGATTAGATGTGCATGTTACTTTGAAAAAACCAAACACAATAATGTGGGATTTGAACAAAAATTATAAAACAAAAGTAATTTTAAGAACCTTACCTGTTTTTTGACTGAACGACTGCTCATAATTTTTTCAACCACTGGACCTTCTGCATCAACAGATTCCTAAAAAATAAAGTTGAATGAACTAATCTACACGGAAAGCATCATTATATATTACTGAAGTGTTCATTCCTTTTTGCTTCTACTACCATACACACCTGCTCAATTCATATCCTTCATACCATTGAGTGCAAAGTCACCAGTGGGAAATATGACTGAAAAGGACAAAAGTCTCACTTTCAGAAAGGCAAAGGAAGATTTGTGCTTACGGCCACATGATTATTTGGTTTAATTATATGAACTAGCACAGGTCCCTAAAGCGACAGTGTTAAGGAGGCTCCAGCTGTCAAGAGAAAATAAGCTCTGCACGACAGCAGTAAAAAATGTAAGTTTTCCTCATCTGTATTCATGGGGCAAATAAACTCATCATTCTGTTATCACAGGCAGCTTTTCTTTATCGAGGTCATATAATACTCTAACACAGCAAAAATTACTAAACAAAATGCAAAACTACATTTAATATACTTTTCAATGAGTTACTAGTTTGTTAACTAAAGTACAGTAATGGTAAGGAAAGAGTATTATTTAATATAAGAGAGAGCTAGAGCGAGAGCGCACATGTGCGCTCTTTACAATACCAACCCTGTATTACTTCCCATGCTTTATACAAACTATTTTATCCATCATTACATTGCACAGAGAATAAAATATGTCCTACTGGGTACTATAAGGCAATAATTTCATAAAGGGGTTCTTATGGTACCTAACAGCAGGAGACAAGCTTGAGGGGCTTATTAAAGTCCTAGGAGCTACAGACAGCACTGACTTCTCAATTCTCCAAAATTGTGTCAAATTAACATATCACAGGCATACATAAAAATAATTCTCAGTGAGCAGAGTTTTTCAAAGGACACTGATAAAAAACTATCAGTCCTGCCACATCAACAATCAACACTAAATGAATATTCTCCAGTCAAAATCCAATGTTTCTGCTTACCTTCTGAATCCAGCTACAAGATTTCCAGATTGTGTTTCCAAATGTTCACACCCCCACATCTGACCACTAACCTGCTGCTCTGACTGTGAGGTGTTAGAAGGCGAGTCTCCTCCAGCAGCATCTGCATCATCTGCCTCCTCATCTGAAATCTTGTACTCCAAGTCTTCAGTGTATCGCTTTCTCTTTACCTGCCTGCTCGAACGTCTTTTCTAAAAGGAGACCCAAGAGTGAGTGTGAAAACAGCAGTCCTTAAACATTTTAAGGATGATAAATTATACTTTTTGAGAAATTACAGAGAAGATGACAACTTTAATCCTTTAAATCATATTAAAACGTCATAGCAGCTACAAATATAACAGAAATAGGCAGGGATGTGGGGTCAAAAATGGAGTCATAGGTCTCCCTCTGCCCCTTCCAGCTACAGGTTTTGAATTAAAAGTAGAAATAACTTAAGTCTCACTCATAATTCAGTCACAGTGACAATCAAATTTGAAGGTAATATTGAAGTCAGCTGATGAGTGCACAGGGATTCACGACACTTTTCTCCTTGCTGTTATGTTGTTAAGTGCTGTGAGTCGTTTGCAACTCATAGTGACCCTATGTACAACAACCCTAAAGCCTGTTCTATCCTGTGCCAATCACCCTGCCTCTGACACACCCATCCTGATTACCCCAGAATCAACCCACCTCACAGAGAGTCTTCCCCTCCTGCACTGTCCCTCCACCCTCCCAAGCATGATGTCCCTCTCCAAGGACCGGTCCCTCCATACAACCTGTCCAAAGCATGTCAGATGAAGCCCCAGAAACCTTGTTTCCAAGGAGCAGTCTGATTTAACCCTCTCCAGGATGAATCTGTTTGTGTTCTTGGCAGTCCATGGTACACTCAAGACTCTTCTCCAGCACCATAGCTCAACGGCATCAATTCTCCTTCTATCCTCCTTAGTCATTGTCCAACTCTCTGATTGCAAAGACCACGGCCTGTATGAGACGCACCTCAGTCTCCAGAGTGACACCATAATTTGTTTTAATATGTTTTATTATAAGATGTTGAATGCATTAGAAGATAAGCTATCATTTATAAAGTTCTATACAAACTGCTATAATACCATTCAAACCTCACAGCCCTATGGCCAAAATATAAACAGGTATAGTCTTTGCAGGGCAATGGGGAAAGTATCAAGACTTAAAACATGTCATTTCTTTGACCCTGCACCTGCACGTCTCATGAGCCATACCATGGAAATATTCCCACATATCCTAGACATATCTCCAAGGTTAACTATTAAATAAAAATTTAAAAAGCATAACAAGAAGCAGCTTATGATTCTACTTAAGATAAATTTAAAAACCTTGTTTATCTAATTGTATCATCAATATATGAACTCCTTAAGACCAAGACATTGTATACCTTACTCATTTCTCTTTGCCTCAATATTGGCTAAAAAAAGCCAATGTCCATTCCTACTTTTTCAATAACAAAACAAGAACAATCAGGGGTGGGAGGAAGGAAGAGAAAGTCACTACTTCTATGGAGGAAGGAAATGGAGCAGAGGGTGACTGCTATACTTTTTGTTCTAATTTATGTTATCTTAACTTTCAAACAAAGAATTAGTCTTATAAATTAATAAAAATGGGAAACAACCTCATTAATATGACATGTAATAAAATCTAATTTGAAAATATTATCTGTATATTTAAGTTGGGGATAGGTACAAGAATATTAAAATCTATGGTATAAGAATATCACAATACAGAAAACAACTATGAGATATCATCTTACCCCAGTAATAATAGCAAAATTTAACAGAACAGCAGCAACAAATGCTGGCAAGGTTGTGAAGAAACTGGAACTCTTATTCACTGTTGGTGGTGGAAGTATAAAATGGTGTGAACACTGTGGAAGGCAGTTTGGCGCTTTCTCAAAAAGTTGCAAATAAAAATACCATTTGACCTAGCAATTCCACTACTGGGAATATACCCCAAAGAGACCATAACTGACACCCAAGCAGATATATGAACACCCATATTTATTGCACCTTTATTCACAATAGCAAGGAGTTGGAAACAACCTAAGTGTCCATCAACAAACGAATGGATAGAGAAGCTGTGGTATATTCACACAATGGAATACTATGCTGCATTGAAAAACAAGGAACTCATGCAATA